TGGTGTCTTACACATGGGACAAAGTTAAGAGCTTTCTAACAGCAAGAGAGCATAGAGATACTGTCTAAAAACTTTTCTAGAAGCATTATAAGGTAGAGAGAACCTCTATAAGTCTTAATAATGACCCAGTTGTACTTGCAAGGTGGTGAAATCAATTATAGGAATACTTTTTACCCTGTTACGCTTGTTTTTGCTACTTTTTAATGAAAATTTTATGGGCGTGTCACAACACCCATTTTTATTATTGATTAAAGATGTCTTCCATCAGAGGAGGTACTACTGGCATTAGTTATGGTGACGAGGGGCTCCCTCACTCATGGATGATGGATTATGAAGATGTAAGTTTAAAGAGTGTGAACTAGGGCTGGTATAGTAGTTCAAATTAGATAAATGACAATGTTATGTATCTTTTCCATTCATTCATTGCCGGGGTAGCCTACTTGATAAGCCAAACCTCTCTAAGAAGGACACATATGGGCTAGTGTTTACTTGTCCTTAAATTGAATCTACATGTATGCCTCATACTATTTAGTCCATAAATCTCGGAGGCCATTTTCCTTGTGTGCATTAATTAGAAATTCCATTGCATGCGTTATGTTTACCTATTTGGGGTTAATACCGTAGGGTGCCTTTTTTAGGGCTGTGAATTTCGCCCAAAGGGTCAAATGACAGATAGAGTTTCCTACATCTATCATGTAAAGTTTGATCATAGTGGCACACAGCTTGGAAAACTTTTATGTGCTTTAAGTTATGAATTTTAACTGTATACCGTAGGGTACCTTCTTTCGAGGGCTATAAATTTTATGGATTTTTAATTTCACGGATTGAAATTTCGCAGATTTATGCCGTCTGCCATCTTGTATTGTATTAATTTAATTTTTGCAAATTTTTGAAAAATTGTGAAATCCGCAAAATTTATAGCCCTTGAAAAAAAGGCTCCCTACGGTATCTACATGTACCACACTTCAAGTTGTTTACTCAAGACCCAACCAAAACCCAGCCTTCCAATAATGACCCCTACCCTATTTCTAGTCCACTACACATGTTACACATGTACATGTAGTCCTTATTCATATACAATACATGTACATGTACATCTCCTCTAGTGTTTATCGTAATTTGGCTTGTGGTGGTAGAGGATCTTGTGATTGTGGCTCAACCTGCAGGTGTCATGAGCCAGTCTCTCTCCCTCTTGCTCGTAATATCTACAATGTTACTCATGGCAGTCTATCTGGATACGCTATTGTGGTAGGACACTCATAATTTCCCTAGTTCATAATTTTTGTAAATATCCATTAAAATTTCTTTTGCTCAATTTTATTTTTTTAAATTTGCACCTTACCTTGTCATGGCTTAATGGTAGATCAAAAAACTTTAAATTGTCAAATTTAAAATTTTATAATTTAAATTTACTTTTGGTTTTTCACAATAATTAGCAAAAATTTTGGGCTACAGAAAT